CATGTGTCATATCCAAAGGTAAAATAGACAACCACAGTGTGATTTTATTTCTCTACAATATGGATTAATGTCACTCCAGTCCTCTGTGTTCAAAGAATCATCATTAGCCTCTTTTCCTAAAGAACCTAAATGGCAAAAAAAAAAAAAAAAAAAAAAAAGAGGATTGGAGGACGGGAGTATAGCAGCTACATTTCCTCCTACTAGTTCTACACAGTTAAGATGATAGTCAAGTGCCTCAGGGAGTGTAGTAAAGGCGTGTACTTGCTTCTCCAGTATGGAAACGAGGAGGAGGGGCTGTGTGACTGTTACAATCACTAGTAGAGCAAAGAGAAGGGAAAATCCCTTTGTGGAAACCTCAGGTAGTGGCAGCTCTAGGGGGCCAATCTATATCCCTGCAGAAAGAGAGAGAAAAAGCACTGGCTTGACTGAGAGCTGATCTGGGGCCCAGTTATGGTATCGGCAAGAGGCCTGGCCTCCACCACCTCCAGTGAGTCTCTTCTGGTCTTCACCTTGCCAAAGATCCTACTGCTGATTAAATGAGCCATTGCTGGTGATTTGAGGAAGGGGTGACGGAGTAGAGTGGATAGGACAAGTTGTTGTATGCCATTGAGTTGATTCTGACTCATAGCAAACCTATAAGACAGAGTAGAACTGCCCCATAGGGCTTTCTAGGCTATAATCTTTATGGGAGCAGATTGCCAGGTCTTTTCACCGGTGGAGCCACTAGTGGGTTTGAACCACTGACATTTTGGTTAGAAGCTGAGCGGTTAGCCATTGTGCCACCAAGACTCCGTTGGCTAGGACATAGGCCTGCCAGTTATACCACAGTATTCTAGGACACTTACCCTGCATTCATAGGGATGATTAGGTTCCACAGCACTATACTATAATCTCATATACATCTTAGACATTATGTTTAGATCTGGGACTCTAATCATTGAGGGCGAATGTTTATAACACGAATTTGAAACCCCTTACAGGTTGCCAACAGTCTAAACTGATTTTTTTCTAAGTAACTTGGTAGATTCACTTTATTTGTAGTATATATCCTCCATAGTTACAATAGCTATTTGATGTACTTTTTTTGTCAAAATTTTCAGTGCCTTTGGGGAGAAAATATCTTCTAAGATTGTACAAGTAGAACAGTTTTTCTGAAACAACCATACTACTGCCACTAATCTCAAACAAGAATGTGTAAAACTATATCATATAGCAGTTAAGAACATGCTTAGGTGTTGGCATTAGAGAGACTGGGCTCTGCTGTGTATTGGCTGTGTGGTCCTGGAAAATTACCTACCCTCTCAGCCTGTTTCCTCATCAGTATAACAAATTGAGTAGTCCCTATTTTGAAGGGTTTTTGTGAAGGCTAAATTGAACTTGTATGTATAAATAACATTAACCACTATGCTTGGTCTCCTATAATTGTTTGATAATAAATAACTGATATATACATATAACAGTCTGTCACATCATTGAATGCTCCAATAAACTGTTTTGAGGATTGTATTAATAATTTTTAATTGACAAAATGGGCAAACTATTACAGCTTAGTGTTCATCAAGGAACTATGGGGGAAATGCAAAGCATTTACAGACTCTTCTGAAGCCCAGTTTCTTTGAATGAATGAATGAATGATTCTATCTCATTTTTTTTGCCAGTATTTTCGATATTCAAGATCAGTGGCAATCCTTAATGGCTGAAGATTTGGCAGTGGCATGGGTATCCATCAATCACACATCCGTAATAGCTACTCTATTTCATGGCAAAGAGTGTTCATTTGAGAAATGCATGTTTGCTGGTGAAGTTTCCAAGTAATTCCCCAAGTGGAATGGTGGCATTCATTGTCATAGACATATAAAGTGATGGAATGAAGATTATTACAAAACTGTAATCTAAATTTTAATGCAGTATTTTCTTCTACAGGGCTAGAAGTTTTTTTTTTTTTTTT